ACTGCTCCTCTGCAGACTCTCCACATGGATGTGTGGGGCCCGGCCCCCATCTGTGGAACGGACCGCGAGCACTACTTCCTGCTGGTTGTTGACGACTACATACGCTACACCGCTCTCTTCCCCTTGCGGCGCAATGCGGACGTCAGCGGTGTCCTGATCCCCTGGATCCGTGCTACTCGTCTCCAGCTGCACGAGCGGTTTGAGCAGGACTTCCCAGTCCTGCGTCTGCACTCTGACAGGGGCGGTGAGTTCTCCTCTGACCTCCTTGCGGGGTTCTGTCGAGACGAGGGCATCCGCCAGACGTTCACGCTTCCGGCCTCTCCTCAGCAGAATGGGATTGCTGAGTATCGCATTGGCTTGATCATGGAGGTTGCTCGCACCTCCATGATCCATGCGACTGCTCCCCATTTTCTGTGGCCGCTTGCGGTCCGATACGCTGCGCATCAGCTCAACCTCTGGCCCCGTGTCTCTGTGCCAGAGACCTCGCCCACCCTCCGGTGGACGGGGAAGCCTGGTGATGCGTCAGTGTTTCGGGTCTGGGGCGCGCTCTCCCTTGTTCGCAATGCCAAAGCGAGCAAGCTCTCCTCTCGCACTCTCCGCTGCGTCCTTGGCTTCCCCACTGACGCCCCGCCGTGGCAGTTCTACCACCCGCACTCGCGTCGAGTCTTCGCCTCCCAGGACGTCACCTTTGACGAGTCTGTCTGTTACTACCAGTTACACCCGCACGCGTCCCACCCGGTTCCTTTAGCACCCCTCTTCCTGGTACCAGTCCCCCCTCCGGTAGACCCCCTCTCCCCACAGGGTCCTGCTCCCTCAGGTGTGTCTCGGGTCGACCCCCCCCCTTAGATGAGCCAGTGGAGATCTCTTCTGACTCCTCTGGCCCAGCTGAGGGGGGTGACCCAGTTGCGGACGACACGGCGGCCACTCGCCGCTCTCCACGCTTGGAGACCCCCCCGGTTTTTCCACCTCGACCGTCTTCGCCGCCTCCGCAGCCTGCTGCTGTGGACTCTGGAGCTGAGACTACAGGTGCTGAGACAGAGGGTGAGGGTTCTGGAGGTGTTGTGCCTGAGGGTGCTGGTTCTGGGGGTGCTGCGACTGGGGGTGTTGTTTCTGGGGGTGCTGGTTCTGGGGTTGCTGCGACTGGGGGTGCTGTCTCTGGGGGTGCTGCGAGTCCTTGTGACGGTGGAGTTGTGGGTGACCCTGTTGGAGGTCCTGGCGCTGGAGGTACTAGAGGTGCTTCTGGAACTGGAGGTGCTAGAGCTACCACTCCTGGAGGTGCTGGAGCTGGACAGCCACCGCAGCCTGCTCTACTTGAGACGCTCTCGCCGCAGGCGATTCGTGCGTGGGTCGTTCGGCGAGGCAGTCCTGGTGGTGGAGGGTACGGTCCTGCTGGTGCTGGACCTACTAGTCCTGGAGGTACTGCTGGTGCTGGAGGTGCTGCTGGTGCTGGAGGTGCTGGAGGTACTGCTGGAGGTACTAGAGGTGCTACTGGTGCTGGAGGTACTAGAGCTGCTAGGCCTGGAGGTACTGGAGGTGCTACTGGTGCTGGAGGTGCTGCAGGTGCTGCTGGTGCTGGAGGTACTGGAGCTGCTGCTGGTGCTGGAGGTACTGGAGCTGGAGGTACTGTAGCTGCTAGTACTGGAGGCACTGGAGGTGTTGGTGCTACTGGTGCTGGAGCTGCGGGAGCTGCTGGTCCTGGAGGTGCTACTGGAGCTGCTGACCCTGGAGGTGCTGGTGCTGCTCGTGCTGGAGGCGTTGGAGCTGGAGGTACTGGAGGTGCTGGAGCTGCTGGTCCTGGAGGTGCTCGTACTAGAGGTGCTGGAGCTGCAGGAGCAAGAGGTACTGCTGGTGCTGGAGGCGCTGGAGCTGGAGCTGGAGGTGCTGGAGGTACTGGAGCTGGAGGTACTGTAGCTGCAAGTACTGGAGGCACTGGAGGTGCTGGTGCTACTGGTGCTGGAGCTGCGGGAGCTGCTGGTCCTAGAGGTGCTACTGGAGCTGCTGACCCTGGAGGTGCTGGTGCTGCTCGTGCTGGAGGCGCTGGAGCTGGAGGTACTGGAGGTGCTGGAGGTACTGCTGGTGCTGGAGGCGCTGGAGCTGGAGCTGGAGGTACTGGAGGTGCTGGAGCTGCTGGTCCTGGAGGTACTCGTACTAGAGGTGCTGGAGCTGCCGGAGCAGGTGGTGCTCTTGGCACTGGAGGTGCTGGAGGTGCTACTGGAGCTGGAGGTGCTGGCGCTGCCGGAGCTAGTGGTGCTGGAGGTGCTGGTGCTACTGGTGCTGGAGGTGCTGCTGGGAGTACTGGTGGAGCTGCTCGTGCTGGAGGTATGGGGGCTGCTGGTGCTCTTCGCCACCTTCTCAGTCTTCCGCCAGGTGCTACTGACTTCCCTGTGGCAGGTACTACTCCTCCGTTACTGTTTCCACCGGCAGACCAGACACAGCGGCAGCTGCTACCGCACTCCCCACTGCCTGCTCCTGCTCCTTACACTGCGGTGACACAGTCCCTGACTGAGCGTCGAGAGGCTGAGACTTGTGATTCCACCCCTGAGCGTCGAGAGCCTGAGTCCAGCTTTGACCTTGAGCCCGAGCCTACTGTCCGTGCTCGTGTTCCTCGTGTTCGTCGTCAGCGTGCTCCGGCTGTCCCAGGCACTCACGATATGACACTCCGTCCTTCCTCTGTTCCACAGCGTGTTCGTGCGTCCAGTCCGACTGTTACCCTCTTTCTTGCTATGGTGGTGACTGACCCTTCGTTCTCGTCTCCTGCTGCGTCTGCCTTAGTCGCTGAGCTCGTTGACTTTGCTGCTGTGTACCGCCTAGACTACCTTGCGAGTCTTGTTTCTGACCCTGTCCCTGCCTGTCCTCCGTCCGTCGGGGGTGAGACTGCTCTTGGCTGTACTGCCCTTGGCTGTGACGTTCTTGAGGACAGGCAGGAGGAGCTGGAGTGCCTTGCGGCCGCTGCACCCCATCTCGCGACCCTGAGGGAGACCCGGATGCACTTGACATCCCCACCCCGCGCTCTTACAGAGAGGCGATCTCGGGTGAGTACTCCTCTCAGTGGCAGACAGCCATGGACACAGAGATGGCTTCATGGAAGTCCACAGGCACCTACGTCGACGAGGTTCCCCCACCTGGGGCGAACATCGTCAGTGGCATGTGGATTTTCAGGGTGAAGCGGCCGCCGGGTTCTCCGCCTGCCTACAAGGCACGTTACGTTGCTCGAGGCTTCAGTCAGCGTGCGGGGGTCGACTTCTTCCAGACCTTCTCCCCCACCCCGAAGATGACCACTCTTCGGGTGTTACTACACATTGCAGCTCAGCGTGACTACGAGCTGCACTCCCTCGACTTCTCGACAGCTTTCTTGCAGGGTAGCCTTCACGAGGCCATCTGGTTGCGCCGTCCAGAGGGCTTGACTGAGTCGTTTCCTGAGGGTACCCAGTGGAGCCTACGGCGACCAGTGTACGGCCTGCGTCAGGCGCCCCGCGAGTGGCACGACACACTGAGGACGACACTTGCGGCTCTTGGGTTTGCTCCTTCGACTGCTGACCCGTCGTTGTTTCTACGCACCGACACTACTCTGCCGCCGTTCTACATCCTCGTGTACGTCGACGACTTGGTTTTTGCTACTGCTGACACTGAGGCACTGGCCCTAGTGAAAGCAGAGCTGCAGGAGAGACACACCTGCACAGACCTGGGTGAGCTGCGGAGCTATCTTGGCTTGCAGATCACCCGGGACAGAGCACGGCGCACCATCACCCTCACTCAGTCACACATGGTAAACCAGGTCCTTCAGCGCTTCGGCTTCACGTGGTCCTCGCCACAGCCCACTCCTCTGTCTACCGGCCACTCGCTCTCAGCTCCACCTTTGGATGAGTCCGTAGAGCCGAGTGGTCCGTACCCAGAGCTTGTGGGTTGCCTCATGTACCTGATGACGTGCACACGACCTGACCTCGCGTACCCTCTCAGCCTCCTGGCTCGCTACGTGGCACCTGGTCGACACCGAAAGGTGCACTTTGATGCTGCGAAGAGGGTACTGTGTTACTTGTGCAGTACATCGGGCATGGGGCTCGTGCTTGGAGGACGGGGTTCAGTGGTACTCACAGGACACTCTGACGCTTCTTGGGCCGACGACCAGGCGACTCAGCGTTCGTCACAGGGTTACACCTTCAGTCTTGGCTCTGGTTCTGTCTCGTGGAGGTCCACTCGTTCTTCTTCTGTGCTTGGCTCCAGCTGCGAGGCCGAGATCTACGCTGGGGCCATGGCTGCACAGGAGCTACGCTGGCTGACCTACCTGCTGACCGACTTGGGGGAGCGACCTCGTTCTCCTCCAGTTCTGTACGTCGACAACAAGGCAATGCTTGCCTTGTGTCGTGAGCAGAGACTGGAGCACAGAACGAAGCACATTGCTCTTCGGTTCTTTCTTGCTCGGGAGCTGCAGCAGCGTGGTCAGCTGCGCCTTGCTTACGTGGCCTCTTGGGCCAACACTGCTGATGTCTTCACCAAGGCCCTCGGGTCTGGTGATCTTCAGCGTTTTTGCACTGCTCTTGGGCTTGTGCCCACTCTGCCTCACCTGCTGGTTGCTTGGCTTGCTCTTGTTGTACACTGATATATGTATTTATACCTGCTTGTTTACTCTTGCTAGGTTGTGATCAGTGTACTGCCTTGCTATTATAACTCTGCATGTGAACTGGCCTTGTGGCCGCTTGCTTGTGCTCAGATTGTGTGGTGTCTTTGAGATCCACCCTGAGCGTTGCTTTGCTTTGCTTGTTCTCTTGCTTGACTGGTCTTGTGACCGTCTGTTGTGTTTGCTATCTCCCACTTAGCCTATGGGGGTGTGTCAAACTGTATGTTTCTGTTCTCTCTAGGCTATAGTGTGTTAGCCTACAAGGGGTACAACACTTTAGGGTTAGGTACTTGTACTCATGCATGCTACCTAGTCCATCATTCCTACCTGCTTATTCTAACATGAAAGCCAGAGATTACAAGAACAACAAGTCGCGACTCATGAGTCATGCATTCATCCTCTTGCTGATTTCCCTCACCCCCACATCCTCCGTCTCCTCCCGCCCACACACCCAGTCATCCCCACAGTGCGCCACCCCCAGCGCCCCCCTCATGCGCATCACATCCTTGCTGAATGTCGACCGCGGGGTGCCCCAGAACACGTGCGCATGCACACACACCATCTTCTCCACCGTGCTCCTCGTGCTGCTGTGGCTGATGATGCCCGCTGCCTGTAGCTCTGCTGCTCCTGGCGCCGCTGACTTAACTCGAGGGTACTGAATTACGGTTATCTCGCCCCACACCAAGGATTTGAGCATCTGGGAGAACCAGCGGAGCTCCTGAGGTGGGATGAGAGGGGGGATGGGGGGAGCGGATGGGAGAATGGACAGGTGCGATGTTTTTTAGCCGACCACGGGGTGCCCCAGAACACATCTTCTCCACGGTGCTTCTCGTGCTGCTGTGGGATAAGAGTGCATTGCTGATTGATCGCACGCGAACCACTTGATCGTATCCTGCTATTCCCTGCTCTCACCTGGTTGGTTGTATATGTGGAGATCCGATCGGCCAAACATCGGGCGATCTGCGACAGTGGTAACCAGCACCAAAACCCCGGCCTCAAACAGTGCGACACTCTCACCTGGTCGGTTGTATCCGTGGTGACAAAGAGAGCCCGCACAGGTTGGTGATGCTGCTCCTGCTCTTGTTGTTGCTGTTGCTGCTGCCGCTCCATCCCACCTGGCCCTACCCCCTCCTTCCCTCCAGCACCAGCACCAGCAGCAGCAGCAGCAGCAGCAGCATTGAGGGCATTGATCCGATCAGCCATGCACCCAGCGATCTGAGACAGCGGTAACCAGCACCGGAACCCAGCCTAGCCTCAAGCAGTGCGACGCTCTACGCTTTCACTCACCTGGTCGGTGGTGTCTGTGGCGACGAAGAGTGTCCGCACAGGTTGTTGGTGCTGCTGACGCTGATGCTGCTGCTGCTGTTGCTTCTGCCGCTCCATCCCACCTACTCTCACCTGGTCGGTGGTGTCTGTGGCGACGAAGAGTGTCCGCACGGGCTGGTCGTGCTGCTGATGTTGTTGTTGTTGCTGCTGCTGCTCCATCCCACCTGGCCCTACCCCCTCCTTCCCTACAGCAGCACCAGCAGCAGCATTGAGGGCATTGATCCGATCAGCCACGCATCTAGCGATCTGCGACAGCGGTAACCAGCACCGGAAGCCCGGCCTCAAGCAGTGCGTCGCAAAATCCGTCCTTCTCAGATGCAGGGCGGCGAAGCGTGTGCCGAGCACACGCCACGCGAACGCGTGGGCGGCGGAGAGGGCGGCGGGGTGCGGACGCATGGCGAGGCGGCAGGGCGGCAGGATGGGGACAGCACCGTTGAGACCGTCGTAGAGACCTGGCAGACCGTCTGAACTCGCGTGACCTTCGATCAACAAATCTGCACGCAATCTGTCCACTCCCCTCAGATCTTCCCCCATCTTTCCCACCTCCCCCATCTCCTTCCCCATCTTTCCCACCTCCCCCATCTCCTTCCCCATCTTCCCCATCTCCCCCCCCATCTCCCCCATCTTCCCGGCTTCCTCCGTCACCTCCCCCACATCCACCTCCCCCACATCCACCTCCCCCACACCCACCTCCCCCACACCCACCTCCCCCTCCTCCCCCACATCCACCTTCCCTGTGATCTCAAACAAGTCTCCCAGCCCAATGACCTGTTCCGTGCGAGGGCCAAAGAAGGAGAGGAACTGGCGGAGAGACACAGAGGCGGCAGGTATGGGGGCTGCGGCACAGATTCGGGCGAGATGTGCTGGGTCGTTTATATTGGCTTCACTAGCAGCAGCAGCAGCACCGTTAGTGTCACCATTGTTAGTGTTACCACCACTACCACTGGCACCACCAGTAGCACTGTTGCTGTCACTGGCTGTAGCACCATCGGCACCCACATCAACACCATCATCATCATTATGGGGTAGAAGCTTTGCCCATGGTGCCTCGCGAATGAACCGCTGACACGTGGCGCGCACGGATTCGCCGCCGTGCCACCACCACCACATCTTCACCTCCACCCTCAGCCTCCTCCCTCTCCCCCTCTGATTCCACAACCCCCCCACCCTCCCCAGCCACCCCTCCCCACCGCTCCCAACCCCCTCGCCTCTGAGGTATGCGTCCACAGTGAGCACTCGCCCCCGCCCCACACACTGCTGCAGGGCTGCCACGTCCACAGCCACTCCCAGGTCCATCCACTCTGGCGGTGCACCTGATAAAACACCTGAAGATACACCTGACGCTCCTAAGGCACTTGATGCGCCAAGTGCCCTCCGACTGGGTATATTAGCAGCAGGTATGTTAGGATCATTCGTATCAAAAGCAGAAATACCGTGGCTCTCGCTCGTGTCTCCCTCACGCAGCAGTCCTCCCTGTACCCCTCCTTGCCCTCGCACCTCTCCCCCCTCCTTCACATCTCTATCGCCTCTCTCCCCTCCCCCATCCGTGTTCCTTCTCGCTCTGGCCATAAGCCGCCTGCGAGTGTAACTCTGCACTCTCGAGAGGGGTAAGCCGCTGACTGATGTGTTGGGGAGTGTGTGCGGGGAGGTGCTGAAGAGAAACGAGGAAAGAGAGGAGGAGGAGGAGGAAGAGGAAGAGGAGGAAGAGGAGGAAGAGGTGGAGGAAACGAGGGATGAGAAGGAGGAGGGCTTATGAGGTGCCTCAGAAGACCTCAGGCCACCTATGAGCCATGTGCCCTTGTGCTGAGAAGAAGAGCCACCAGCAGAAGAGGTGGGAGGCACTACTGGCAGCAGCAGAGTGCGCTTGAGCAGAGCTGCAAAAGCCAGGTACCTGGAGGGGGGCAAAGAAGCGGGAGGGAGTTTGAGACGCCTCAGAATGGGGTGCGGATAAGGCAGCAGCAGAGTGCGGTTGAGCAGAGCTGCAAAGGCGAGGTACCTGAAGGGGCAGGGGCGGAGGGGAGGGGGGTGGACAGGTTCTGAGACGTCTCACAACAAGATACAGGAGCCACCTGGGGGAAACATGTCCCCTCGTGGCGAAAATAAGCAGCACCACCACCAGAGGTTTGTTTTCAGAATTAAAGAAAGAAAAAAACATATAACGAAAAGAAGCAGCACCAGCAGCAGAGGTGGGATGCACTACAGGCAGCAGCAGGGAGCGGTTGAGCAGAGCTTCAAAGGCGAGGTACCTGGAGGGGCAGAGGGGGGGCCGAACCGAACGGGTTTTGAGGGTCGTCTCACAACAAGATACAAGAATCACCCAGGGAACCCTGTCCCCTTGTGCTGAGAAGAAGCATCAGCAGCAGAGGTGACTTTTAAGGCACCTCAAAAGTCGTCTCACAACAAGATACAAGAATCACGCGGGGAACCCTGTCCCCACGTGCTGAGAAGAAGCACCAGCAGACAGAGGGAAAGGCGGTCGCGGCAGGGCGAGAAGGAGGAACAACAAGGCGGTTGCAGGGGGAGCAGACTCTGCTCAGAAGAGGGAGAGAGTGAGGGCAAGGGGCCACCCGACTTCGTATGCGAAGAGGAAGAAAAAGAGCAAAGGGTTACCCACCTTCGAAGGCAGAGCAGGTGGTTGGAGGTGCGGCCATGGGTGCAGGTAGCGGTGGGGAGGGTGGGGGTGAGAGTAATGGTTCTAAAGGGGTTCCAAAAGAAGAGAGAGCGGGGACCCACCGTCGTATGCAGAGCAGGTGGTTGGAGGTGCGGCCATGCATGCAGGTAGCGGTGGGGAGGGTGGGGGTGAGAGTAATGGTTCTAAAGGGGTTCCAAAAGAAGAGAGAGCGGGGACCCACCGTCGTATGCAGAGCAGGTGGTTGGAGGTGCGGCCATGCGTGCAGGTAGCGGTGGGGAGGGTGGGGGTGAGAGTAATGGTTCTAAAGGGGTTCCAAAAGAAGAGAGAGCGGGGACCCACCGTCGTATGCAGAGCAGGTGGTTGGAGGTGCGGCCATGCGTGCAGGTAGCGGTGGGGAGGGTGGGGGTGAGAGTAATGGTTCTAAAGGGGTTCCAAAAGACGAGAGAGCGGGGACCCACCGTCGTATGCAGAGCAGGTGGTTGGAGGTGCGGCCATGCGTGCAGGTAGCGGTGGGGAGGGTGGGGGTGAGAGTAATGGTTCTAAAGGGGTTCCAAAAGAAGAGAGAGCGGGGACCCACCGTCGTATGCAGAGCAGGTGGTTGGAGGTGCGGCCATGCGTGCAGGTAGCGGTGGGGAGGGTGGGGGTGAGAGTAATGGTTCTAAAGGGGTTCCAAAAGAAGAGAGAGCGGGGACCCACCGTCGTATGCAGAGCAGGTGGTTGGAGGTGCGGCCATGCGTGCAGGTAGCGGTGGGGAGGGTGGGGGTGAGAGTAATGGTTCTAAAGGGGTTCCAAAAGACGAGAGAGCGGGGACCCACCGTCGTATGCAGAGCAGGTGGTTGGAGGTGCGGCCATGCGTGCAGGTAGCGGTGGGGAGGGTGGGGGTGAGAGTAATGGTTCTAAAGGGGTTCCAAAAGAAGAGAGAGCGGGGACCCACCGTCGTATGCAGAGCAGGTGGTTGGAGGTGCGGCCATGCGTGCAGGTAGCGGTGGGGAGGGTGGGGGTGAGAGTAATGGTTCTTAAGGGGTTCCAAAAGAAGAGAGAGCGGGGACCCACCGTCGTATGCAGAGCAGGTGGTTGGAGGTGCGGCCATGCGTGCAGGTAGCGGTGGGGAGGGTGGGGGTGAAAGTAATGGTTCTAAAGGGGTTCCAAAAGAAGAGAGAGCGGGGACCCACCGTCGTATGCAGAGCAGGTGGTTGGAGGTGCGGCCATGCATGCAGGTAGCGGTGGGGAGGGTGGGGGTGAGAGTAATGGTTCTAAAGGGGTTCCAAAAGAAGAGAGAGCGGGGACCCACCGTCGTATGCAGAGCAGATGGTTGGAGGTGCGGCCATGCGTGCAGGTAGCGGTGGGGAGGGTGGGGGTGAGAGTAATGGTTCTAAAGGGGTTCCAAAAGAAGAGAGAGCGGGGACCCACCGTCGTATGCAGAGCAGGTGGTTGGAGGTGCGGCCATGCGTGCAGGTAGCGGTGGGGAGGGTGGGGGTGAGAGTAATGGTTCTAAAGGGGTTCCAAAAGAAGAGAGAGCGGGGACCCACCGTCGTATGCAGAGCAGGTGGTTGGAGGTGCGGCCATGCGTGCAGGTAGCGGTGGGGAGGGTGGGGGTGAGAGTAATGGTTCTAAAGGGGTTCCAAAAGACGAGAGAGCGGGGACCCACCGTCGTATGCAGAGCAGGTGGTTGGAGGTGCGGCCATGCGTGCAGGTAGCGGTGGGGAGGGTGGGGGTGAGAGTAATGGTTCTAAAGGGGTTCCAAAAGACGAGAGAGCGGGGACCCACCGTCGTATGCAGAGCAGGTGGTTGGAGGTGCGGCCATGCGTGCAGGTAGCGGTGGGGAAGGTGGGGGTGAGAGTAATGGTTCTAAAGGGGTTCCAAAAGAAGAGAGAGCGGGGACCCACCGTCGTATGCAGAGCAGGTGGTTGGAGGTGCGGCCATGCGTGCAGGTAGCGGTGGGGAGGGTGGGGGTGAGAGTAATGGTTCTAAAGGGGTTCCAAAAGAAGAGAGAGCGGGGACCCACCGTCGTATGCAGAGCAGGTGGTTGGAGGTGCGGCCATGCATGCAGGTAGCGGTGGGGAGGGTGGGGGTGAGAGTAATGGTTCTAAAGGGGTTCCAAAAGAAGAGAGAGCGGGGACCCACCGTCGTATGCAGAGCAGATGGTTGGAGGTGCGGCCATGCGTGCAGGTAGCGGTGGGGAGGGTGGGGGTGAGAGTAATGGTTCTAAAGGGGTTCCAAAAGAAGAGAGAGCGGGGACCCACCGTCGTATGCAGAGCAGGTGGTTGGAGGTGCGGCCATGCGTGCAGGTAGCGGTGGGGAGGGTGGGGGTGAGAGTAATGGTTCTAAAGGGGTTCCAAAAGAAGAGAGAGCGGGGACCCACCGTCGTATGCAGAGCAGGTGGTTGGAGGTGCGGCCATGCGTGCAGGTAGCGGTGGGGAGGGTGGGGGTGAGAGTAATGGTTCTAAAGGGGTTCCAAAAGAAGAGAGAGCGGGGACCCACCGTCGTATGCAGAGCAGGTGGTTGGAGGTGCGGCCATGCGTGCAGGTAGCGGTGGGGAGGGTGGGGGTGAGAGTAATGGTTCTAAAGGGGTTCCAAAAGAAGAGAGAGCGGGGACCCACCGTCCTATGCAGAGCAGGTGGTTGGAGGTGCGGCCATGCGTGCAGGTAGCGGTGGGGAGGGTGGGGGTGAGAGTAATGGTTCTAAAGGGGTTCCAAAAGACGAGAGAGCGGGGACCCACCGTCGTATGCAGAGCAGGTGGTTGGAGGTGCGGCCATGCGTGCAGGTAGCGGTGGGGAGGGTGGGGGTGAGAGTAATGGTTCTAAAGGGGTTCCAAAAGAAGAGAGAGCGGGGACCCACCGTCGTATGCAGAGCAGGTGGTTGGAGGTGCGGCCATGCGTGCAGGTAGCGGTGGGGAGGGTGGGGGTGAGAGTAATGGTTCTAAAGGGGTTCCAAAAGAAGAGAGAGCGGGGACCCACCGTCGTATGCAGAGCAGGTGGTTGGAGGTGCGGCCATGCGTGCAGGTAGCGGTGGGGAGGGTGGGGGTGAGAGTAATGGTTCTAAAGGGGTTCCAAAAGAAGAGAGAGCGGGGACCCACCGTCGTATGCAGAGCAGGTGGTTGGAGGTGCGGCCATGCGTGCAGGTAGCGGTGGGGAGGGTGGGGGTGAGAGTAATGGTTCTAAAGGGGTTCCAAAAGAAGAGAGAGCGGGGACCCACCGTCGTATGCAGAGCAGGTGGTTGGAGGTGCGGCCATGCGTGCAGGTAGCGGTGGGGAGGGTGGGGGTGAGAGTAATGGTTCTAAAGGGGTTCCAAAAGAAGAGAGAGCGGGGACCCACCGTCGTATGCAGAGCAGGTGGTTGGAGGTGCGGCCATGCGTGCAGGTAGCGGTGGGGAGGGTGGGGGTGAGAGTAATGGTTCTAAAGGGGTTCCAAAAGAAGAGAGAGCGGGGACCCACCGTCGTATGCAGAGCAGGTGGTTGGAGGTGCGGCCATGCGTGCAGGTAGCGGTGGGGAGGGTGGGGGTGAGAGTAATGGTTCTAAAGGGGTTCCAAAAGACGAGAGAGCGGGGACCCACCGTCGTATGCAGAGCAGGTGGTTGGAGGTGCGGCCATGCGTGCAGGTAGCGGTGGGGAGGGTGGGGGTGAGAGTAATGGTTCTAAAGGGGTTCCAAAAGACGAGAGAGCGGGGACCCACCGTCGTATGCAGAGCAGGTGGTTGGAGGTGCGGCCATGCGTGCAGGTAGCGGTGGGGAAGGTGGGGGTGAGAGTAATGGTTCTAAAGGGGTTCCAAAAGAAGAGAGAGCGGGGACCCACCGTCGTATGCAGAGCAGGTGGTTGGAGGTGCGGCCATGCGTGCAGGTAGCGGTGGGGAGGGTGGGGGTGAGAGTAATGGTTCTAAAGGGGTTCCAAAAGAAGAGAGAGCGGGGACCCACCGTCGTATGCAGAGCAGGTGGTTGGAGGTGCGGCCATGCATGCAGGTAGCGGTGGGGAGGGTGGGGGTGAGAGTAATGGTTCTAAAGGGGTTCCAAAAGAAGAGAGAGCGGGGACCCACCGTCGTATGCAGAGCAGATGGTTGGAGGTGCGGCCATGCGTGCAGGTAGCGGTGGGGAGGGTGGGGGTGAGAGTAATGGTTCTAAAGGGGTTCCAAAAGAAGAGAGAGCGGGGACCCACCGTCGTATGCAGAGCAGGTGGTTGGAGGTGCGGCCATGCGTGCAGGTAGCGGTGGGGAGGGTGGGGGTGAGAGTAATGGTTCTAAAGGGGTTCCAAAAGAAGAGAGAGCGGGGACCCACCGTCGTATGCAGAGCAGGTGGTTGGAGGTGCGGCCATGCGTGCAGGTAGCGGTGGGGAGGGTGGGGGTGAGAGTAATGGTTCTAAAGGGGTTCCAAAAGAAGAGAGAGCGGGGACCCACCGTCGTATGCAGAGCAGGTGGTTGGAGGTGCGGCCATGCGTGCAGGTAGCGGTGGGGAGGGTGGGGGTGAGAGTAATGGTTCTAAAGGGGTTCCAAAAGAAGAGAGAGCGGGGACCCACCGTCGTATGCAGAGCAGGTGGTTGGAGGTGCGGCCATGCGTGCAGGTAGCGGTGGGGAGGGTGGGGGTGAGAGTAATGGTTCTAAAGGGGTTCCAAAAGAAGAGAGAGCGGGGACCCACCGTCGTATGCAGAGCAGGTGGTTGGAGGTGCGGCCATGCGTGCAGGTAGCGGTGGGGAGGGTGGGGGTGAGAGTAATGGTTCTAAAGGGGTTCCAAAAGACGAGAGAGCGGGGACCCACCGTCGTATGCAGAGCAGGTGGTTGGAGGTGCGGCCATGCGTGCAGGTAGCGGTGGGGAGGGTGGGGGTGAGAGTAATGGTTCTAAAGGGGTTCCAAAAGAAGAGAGAGCGGGGACCCACCGTCGTATGCAGAGCAGGTGGTTGGAGGTGCGGCCATGCGTGCAGGTAGCGGTGGGGAGGGTGGGGGTGAGAGTAATGGTTCTAAAGGGGTTCCAAAAGAAGAGAGAGCGGGGACCCACCGTCGTATGCAGAGCAGGTGGTTGGAGGTGCGGCCATGCGTGCAGGTAGCGGTGGGGAGGGTGGGGGTGAGAGTAATGGTTCTAAAGGGGTTCCAAAAGAAGAGAGAGCGGGGACCCACCGTCGTATGCAGAGCAGGTGGTTGGAGGTGCGGCCATGCGTGCAGGTAGCGGTGGGGAGGGTGGGGGTGAGAGTAATGGTTCTAAAGGGGTTCCAAAAGAAGAGAGAGCGGGGACCCACCGTCGTATGCAGAGCAGGTGGTTGGAGGTGCGGCCATGCGTGCAGGTAGCGGTGGGGAGGGTGGGGGTGAGAGTAATGGTTCTAAAGGGGTTCCAAAAGAAGAGAGAGCGGGGACCCACCGTCGTATGCAGAGCAGGTGGTTGGAGGTGCGGCCATGCGTGCAGGTAGCGGTGGGGAGGGTGGGGGTGAGAGTAATGGTTCTAAAGGGGTTCCAAAAGAAGAGAGAGCGGGGACCCACCGTCGTATGCAGAGCAGGTGGTTGGAGGTGCGGCCATGCGTGCAGGTAGCGGTGGGGAGGGTGGGGGTGAGAGTAATGGTTCTAAAGGGGTTCCAAAAGAAGAGAGAGCGGGGACCCACCGTCGTATGCAGAGCAGGTGGTTGGAGGTGCGGCCATGCGTGCAGGTAGCGGTGGGGAGGGTGGGGGTGAGAGTAATGGTTCTAAAGGGGTTCCAAAAGACGAGAGAGCGGGGACCCACCGTCGTATGCAGAGCAGGTGGTTGGAGGTGCGGCCATGCGTGCAGGTAGCGGTGGGGAGGGTGGGGGTGAGAGTAATGGTTCTAAAGGGGTTCCAAAAGAAGAGAGAGCGGGGACCCACCGTCGTATGCAGAGCAGGTGGTTGGAGGTGCGGCCATGCGTGCAGGTAGCGGTGGGGAGGGTGGGGGTGAGAGTAATGGTTCTAAAGGGGTTCCAAAAGAAGAGAGAGCGGGGACCCACCGTCGTATGCAGAGCAGGTGGTTGGAGGTGCGGCCATGCGTGCAGGTAGCGGTGGGGAGGGTGGGGGTGAGAGTAATGGTTCTAAAGGGGTTCCAAAAGACGAGAGAGCGGGGACCCACCGTCGTATGCAGAGCAGGTGGTTGGAGGTGCGGCCATGCGTGCAGGTAGCGGTGGGGAGGGTGGGGGTGAGAGTAATGGTTCTAAAGGGGTTCCAAAAGAAGAGAGAGCGGGGACCCACCGTCGTATGCAGAGCAGGTGGTTGGAGGTGCGGCCATGCGTGCAGGTAGCGGTGGGGAGGGTGGGGGTGAGAGTAATGGTTCTAAAGGGGTTCCAAAAGACGAGAGAGCGGGGACCCACCGTCGTATGCAGAGCAGGTGGTTGGAGGTGCGGCCATGCGTGCAGGTAGCGGTGGGGAGGGTGGGGGTGAGAGTAATGGTTCTAAAGGGGTTCCAAAAGAAGAGAGAGCGGGGACCCACCGTCGTATGCAGAGCAGGTGGTTGGAGGTGCGGCCATGCGTGCAGGTAGCGGTGGGGAGGGTGGGGGTGAGAGTAATGGTTCTAAAGGGGTTCCAAAAGAAGAGAGAGCGGGGACCCACCGTCGTATGCAGAGCAGGTGGTTGGAGGTGCGGCCATGCGTGCAAGTAGCAAGCAGGTAGCGGTGAGGGTGGGGGTTCCAGGGAATGAGGCGGGGGGGAGGGGGGAAGAGAGAGGCCGAGATGGGGGAGGGGGAGTGGGTTGTCGGGTCGGTGCGACAGACTGGGGGTAGGTGGGAGAGAGTGAGGTGAGAGAGGAGGAGGGAGAGGTGGGGAGGGAGGGTAGTGTTGGGTGAGTGAGGAGAGGAGGAGGGGTTGTTGCGAATGGTATTGAGTGCCTGAGTGGGATGGGGGTGAGCGAGGAGGTGGGGAGGGTGGGGGAGAGGTGAGGGGGGGCAAGAGGTGGGGAGGGAGGGTATATGGGTGAGAGAGGAGTGGAGGGGGAGAAGGGGCTGTAACGTCAACAGACGAGGAGGAGGAGGGAGCAGGAAAGTTGGATGGGGGAGGGATGTAGGTGAGAGAGGAGTGGTGGAGGAGGGATGGATTGTGAAGTCAACAGTGTAGTGGAGTTCATTCACAGCCTGATGAAGATGGAGGGGTACGTAAGCCAGGAGAACAAGTAAAATACGGGACGAAAAAGAGATGAAAAGAAAAGAAAAACATTCCAGGTGAATTATTACTTGGAGCAAAAGTCATTACAGGGACAGGAGTGGGGGAACAACAAAGAGCAGGACTCAATACAACTTTGGAATCTCACCTGCTCAGACTCATCCTCTTCCACCACCATCTCTCTCCCTGCTTCACTCCCCCCCACGCTGCTGCCCCTAGCACCACCGGCAGCAGCAGCAGCGCCAGCAGAATCCACCCACGATGGCAAATCATCCTCCTCAGCCTCCTTCCCACCTCTCCCCTCCCTCTCCCCTTCTCCCTCCTCCTTTTCCTCAGATACCCCCCTCCCCGCTCCCATTTCCTCCCTCTCATGCTGTAAGCTCTTCAGCATCGCCTCCACTGTAGCTATCCTCGTTTTAAGCATGCGCTCCAAACGAATCAGCTCGGCAGCAGCAAGAGTCCTGTCAGTGGTAAACTGACTCTCATCAGCTGAAAGCGACTGTGTGCTGCCCACTCCCACTCCTCCTGCTGCACTGCTCAGGCACAAAGGAACACGGCACGGCAACACGGCAACAAGGCAACACATGAACACGCATCCAACCCAATAGGGGCGAGGCATCGAGCCCACCAAAACACCCGTCCAATCAGCCAAACGCGAGCCTAATCTGCTGCCCTCTCCCACACCACCTGCTGCACTGTTCAGGCAAAAGGGAGCACGGCAGCACAGCAACAAGGCAACAGGGCGACACACATACTTGAAGGTGGTGAGGAGCGGAGAGGCATCGAGCGCCGATGCACGCACCTCTTTTGAGACGTCTCAAAATCAACAAGGCAACAGGGCGACAGGGCAACAGGGCAACAGGGCGACACACATACTTGAAGGTGGTGAGCAGCGGAGAGGCATTGAGCAGCACCGATGCACGCACCTCCCACCGACCGAGTCAGCACATACCTTTACCTTGCCTTGTGCTGCTGCTGCCAACCCCATCTGCTGTAGTGTTCAGGCGCAAGGGAATAAAGCAACGGAGCGACAAATGTTTGAAGGTGGTGAGTTGAGAGTCGAGACGTCGAGCCCACACAAGGTTCAAAAATACGGTTTTCGTAAAATACGGTCCGTTTTTTACGGTCTTTTTTTACGGTGATTTTTCGAAAAAAACTGTCGTTTTTTTGTTAGAGAACTCTGTCCACCAAGAAAAAATAGGGAAAAACCAAGGTCAAATACTTCTTCAATCATGCCAACAACCGCACACATGCAAGAAGGGGTCCGTCCCCTTCATCCTGCTGACTTTCTGGTTCAATTTGGTCTCATTAAGTGGCTGTTTTGTTAATTAAACAGAAAACACCTCCTGGAACCGTTTTAAACCGTTTTTTACGACCGTTTTTTACGATGCCTTTTTTTACGATAAATTCTTAAAAAAACGGCCGTTTTTTTAAACCCTGAGCCCACATGCACACACCTACCACCGAGTCAGCCCATACCTTTCCCAGGCCCAGGCGGTCTCATGGACCAAGAGAGGCAGGGTCCAATCTCACCTCTCTGCACCGACTCATGCCGTGCTTCTTGCTGCTGCTGATGCTCTTGTGGTTGCTGTTGTAGCAGCGTTACAGAGTGCTCATTGCAGTCGCCGCCAGCTCTGTGCGACGCAGAGCTGATCCCTGACCAGAGGAAGTAGGCCTGGAAAGAGGAGGGGAGGAGAGAGAAGAGGGGGGAGTGAAGGGCGGGACAACTGCGAACATAGCCGCCCGCACCAGGGGGGGTGGTGAGTGTGCCAGCTCTGTGCGACCCAATGCTGACCCCTGAACAGAGGAGGTAGGCCTGGAAAGAGGGGGAGAGTGAAGCGGGGAGAATGAAGTGGTGAGTAAGTGAGTGAGTGAGAGTGCTGACCCATTCTCTCTCTCTCCCTCGTCCAATCGCCACTCTCTCTCTCTCTCCCTCGTCCGATCGTCACTCTCTCTCCCACTCATCCGATCGTCACTCTCTCTCTCCCTCATCCGATCGTCACTCGCTCTCCCCCTCGTCCAATCGTCTTACCTGCGACAAGCACACGAGGAGCAACAGGAGGTGGACAGAGCGCCGCATGAGCGCCGCAAAAGAAGGACGCCACGGCGGCATGAGCGCCGCGAAGGACGGCCGCCATGGCCGCATGAGGCGCGGCGAGTGCTTCTCCGTGCGGGAAGCGCAAGAAGGGTCGGAGCTAGAATGAGTTGAAAGGCGTTAAAGAGAACGGGTAAGGACGAGAATGGAACGCATGAGGCGCAACGAGTGCGTCTCCGCGCGGGAAGGCGCAAGAAATGTCGGAGCTAGAATGAGTTGAATGGAGTTAAGCACAACGGGTAAGGGCGTAGGAATGTGAACCGAAGGCGTGGATGGGATTAGGGCAGCAGGAGTACGGATTTTAAAGACATCTAGGCTGGGTAGTCAAAGTCGATTCGGCGTCATGGAAGCTCGCGACGAGGCGAGAGTTCCTAATTTCCTCCTGCTGGCGGGATCAGCGCAGTGCAGTAACCACCAACAGATTCTGGCACTGCCTGTCAATAAAAGAGCGCAAAACACCTTGCTTTGCTGTCTCCATAAAGGTTGAATGACAATATCGAAGAATTGCAAGCTCAGAGATTGGGATCAAGTCGGTACCACATTGAATACACGCTAAACCGCTTCGAAACCAACTGAAACGCGTGCGATTCCCCCGCGATGTTGTGGTTGTGGTAGCGATGACGACAGATTTTTCTGCGCGCGAAGAGATGCGTTCCGTTGCTTTCGTCATCTGTTTTCGTGATTGTCGTGGCGTAGATTGTCGTAACCAAACTTGTGCTACTCGATGATTCTGCGAAAGTCGTGAATACTTCGCGACCTCCACTCGCATGTACTTTTCCAACGGTTACTCGAAGCACATGTGTGCAAATACCCCAAGAGGTAAATCCCAGGAGTAGTCTGTTCTGTGATGCGGTTGAAATCGGTGAGTTACATGGTTTTCTTGCATCTGCACTTTGGTCAGTGTGACACAATCGGCTGTCCACTAAAGCAGGCATGATCTATCAAGTTATGATTAGTACCAAGGCGGCGTAATATCGCGGATAACATCGCGACACCGTATTATTATGACATCTGATCTGCGTATTGCATACAGTACTCATGCTGTAAAGCGTATGACTCGTGCGGGTGCTGTTATCCACCAGCACCACCTCTCTCAATGGCGGCGACTTTCGCGAATTCGCGAAGCTCGGGAGTTTCGCGGAATTCGATAGCTTCGCGGAATTCGATGTCCAATCGGGACACCTTCGAGGCGCGTAGAAGACATGCGCCTGATTCTATCGTCCCGTCCCTCCGCTCTCCGTGGCTCGCATTATTTGCGTTGCTGCTGGTGCTGTCGCTGAAACTATCGCTGGGCGATGACGTGTCGAACTGTGATTCGCTGGTCAGTGGTTACGATCCATCCATCGTTCGCTCTTCTCGCATTTCTTCGTCTCCTTCTCTTTCCTTTCGCCATTTCTGCTTCCCTGCTCTCACCCCTCTTTCCCTCTGCTTGCCCCCTTTTCCCTTCTCTCGCCCCGGGTTCCCTTCGCCATATGCCTTTCCGCCTTTCGTCTCTTTTTTATTTACACGCTCCCCGCTGCGGCCGGGCCGAGAACGGAACACCTCTTCCATTTTTTTTAAATCGGCGCCGCTTTTCCCGTTCCCATTCTCAAAACCCCCTCCCCCCTATTCCACCCCACTTGCCCCCTCTCACCCCGCTCCCCCCCACGCTCTCCGTCGCTCCCATCCCCCCACTCTCCCCCCTCTTCATCTCATTTCAGTCTTGTTCTCTTACCCCCTTGTCAATCTATCCATCAGGGTTCCTTCCTCCCCTCCTCGCGCCTCGCCCCCTCCTCTCACCTCCGCTTCGGGTTCCCCGAAGCCCTCTGTGGCGACTGGTGGAAGGAGTACGTGAAACTGCATGCACGCATGAGGGAGGCGAGCAGACTACAGCACGCACAGGCGCAGGCACAGGCGCAGGCACAGGCACAAGCCCAAGCCCAACCGCAAGCCCAGGCTCAAGGGCAAGCCCAGGCCCAGGCAGGTGTGGCAGTTGCTGCTGCTGCCGATGCCACTGCGCCTGCTGCTGCTGCTGCTGCTGCTGCGTCAGCTCCTCCCCTCTCGCCACCACCCCTCCCCTCCTCCTCCCCCTCCCCTCCCCCTCTCCGCTTCCTCACATACGAGGTCCTCTTCGGGTGTGGGGGGCTGGGGGACGCTCTGATTGGCCTAGCCGCCGCGTTCACTGTAGCACTTTTGGACGGACGTGCCCTGATTCTCAACCACCCGTGCCTGCCGCAAGCCTTTGACCCCGCCCTCGTTGACTGGCGGTTGACCGACGATGTCCCCATGGAACCTTCCAGGAAATACACGTATGTTCCGCCTCCTGACGTCGGCCCTACGGCTAACTCACCTCCTGCTGCTGCTGATTCAACAGCTGCTGGTGCTGCTACAGGCAGTGAGGCAGGAGGGGAGCCGGCAGAAGCAGCAGTGCAGGCAGGGGAGGTGATTCGGGTGAACCTGAAGAACCGTGATGTGGACTTGCAGCCGCTCTTCTCCCGCCTCGCCCCCGCCGCCAACATCCTGCTGCGCTGGAACCGCGGCGTGCTCACAAGGCTCTTCCTGGAGGCTTATAACGCGGACAGGGAGGCTTATAATGGGGATGGAGGAGGGGGAGAGGCGGGGAGAGGGGTGGGAGGCGAGTGGGGGATGAGAGGCAGCAGGGAGTGGGCGTTGAGGTTGAGGAATATGGGGCTCAGGCTGCCGCTTGCAACGGGATGCTTTTTGCGCTTCCTTCTCAGGTGATTGCTCAGGTGCTTTTTCAGGTGGTTGTCAGGTGGGGTGGGGGATGAGGGGCAGCAGGGAGTGGGCATTGAAGCGGTTGGGATTCAGGCTGCCATTTGTAATCGTCTGTTTTCTGCGCTTCATATATTGCACCCCCCACACCCTTTTCCCCTACCTCGCCACACGTTTGTGAAGTATTAAGGTACAGATCTTATGTAAGGCCTCCATTGCCCACTTTTGATGGGCTTGCAATGGGATGTTGCAAGTCTTAGATATGATGGATGCAGGGCCTCCATAGCTTTGACAATTTCTCGCCAGACCAATACCAGAGCCCCAGGTGTCGTGTACCACACGCGTATCCATCCTCCTCCTCTACCTCCCTCTCCTTGTCTAGCCCACAAACCTGCCAATCATCCCTTCTCTCCCTCCTCCTTTTCTTCCCCCCCGCCCCTTCTCCCCATTTTCCTTCCCTCACCCCCACCCTACAAACCCACCCAACCCCCCCTTCACTACACTACACCCCCCCCCCCCCACCCTCCCGGGTCTTCCCTTCCCAACCTTGCCTAGCCTCCAGACCAAAGCCTGAGGTGTGGCAACTCATCCGACCGTTCGATCAGCAGCTTCGGGGCGATCGGACGGTCGTGATTGGTCTGCACGTTCGGTTCGAGGACAGAGCAGTGTGGGGAGAGGGAGGGGAGGGGGCGCCTTTATCACTCTCAGAGGAGCGAGTGAGGGAGATGGTGGAAGAGGTTCGACCCACTCTTGAGTGTGCCAAGGTAAGAATTGAATAGGAGGGGAGTGCGGGAAAGGAAAGCAGGGTGATAGCTTTTATCTCTCCCAGCGGAGCAAGTGGGAGATGGTGGAAGAGGTTCGACCCACTCTTGAGTGTGCAAAGGTATGTATGGGAGTGGTTTGGGGGATTCTAAAGAAAAAGGAGAATGAGGGAGAGGAAAGAGGGAGGTTGCGCCGCTACCACTATCAGAGGAGCGAGTGAGGGAGTTGGTGAAAGTGTTTTGTAAGGAAACCACTCTTAAGTGTGCGAATGTAAGGAAGGGGTTTGTGGGAGGCGGATTCACGAGGGGAGTGAGGGAAAGGAAGGAGAGAGGGGAAGGTGTGCATTTATCACTCACTAAGGAGCGAGTGATGGAGATGGTGGAAGAGGTCAAACGCACTACAGAGTGTGTGAAAGGTGAGGAAAGGGTTCACAAGAGGCAGAATCAAGAGGGGATAGAGGAAGGCACGCAACTATCACTCTCCGAGGAGCGAGTGAGGGAGACGGTGGAAGAAGGTGAGTGAGAGCCATCACTCGTGATTGTAAGGCAAGGGGTTCACAGGGAAAGGAAGGGAGGAGACGGAAGGGGCCTCGGATGCAAAAGGACGTCGTTTGTACTTCCCCCCTTGATCGTGCCCACATATTTTTTTCCATGAATTTCTCCTTTCCTTGGACCCGCAGCCGCCTTCCTTCACCCCACTTTCTCCACCCTCAACACAAACAGCGAGTGCACGAGTGGCACGTCCCCTCCTCCCTCCCTGTCAAGTGGTTGTTGCGTGTCGACGTAAACTCCTTTTCTTCTTCCTGCTCTATCGCCCCCCCCACCCTTCAACACAAACAGCGAGTGCAGGAGTGGCACATCCCCTCCTCCCTCCCTGTCAAGTGGCTACTGCTCTGCAACTCCATGCAAGTCAAGAAGGCAGGGAGCAGCAGCAGGGGGATAATGCTTCTCACCTTACTCTCTCTTTCTCCCTCCCGCCCTTCAACCCCACAGCGAGTGCAGGAGTGGCATATCCCCTCCTCCCTCCCTGTCAAGTGGCTACTGCTCTGCAACTCCATGCAAGTCAAAGAGGCCATTCACAAGCAATACCCGGATAAGGTGAGGCACTCGCAGACAATACCCCTACAAGGTGAGGCATTCACAAGTCAAGCCTCTTTCTTGGTACCCAGAAAGGGTGAGGCTTTCCCGAAACAGACTGAAAACAATCGCACTGATGAAGGCATAGCGGTTATGATCCCCGTGCGCCGAAACAGGTTTGCCTAAGTCTAGAGTTTGAATCGGTCTGTACGTACGGATTTTACTCGAATCTTTCCCTCACATACCTTCATCAACAGTTCGCCTCCATTTCTCTTCCCCGTGACCCACAGGTGGTAACCACCGACTTCACTCCCCGCCACGCCAACAGCATGAGTGGGGAAGACACCACCATGCAGCCCTCCCCATCCACCTCCTCCCTCTCCTCCCCCTCCTCTCCCTCCTCTTCCTCCTCTCCATTCCTCGAGCTCATAGCCGAGTGGTTGCTGCTAGCCTCCTCCCATTTCTTCGTCATCCCCAACTCGGGTTTCTCCAGCAGCAGGGTCTGCGTTTATGCCGCCGGATAACTGCTTCCCTGACGTGCCTGTGAATCTGACATGGCTGGGGACCACATGGAGCAGAATATAAATCTGCAACAGCACAAAATGTTTGTTGCTGACTAATACTTGCACCGTAACGAATCAGATTGCTGCTGCTAGCCCCCTCCCAGCTCTGGCTTCTGCTGCATGGCCCTGCGCTATTCAATGCACCCGGTGGGGTCTGCCTTTATGCCTCCGGATACCGGAACTGCTTCCCTGACGTGCCTGCATTGCTTGGAAGGAACCACATGGAGCAGAATATGATGCTGCATGCAATGTCTGGAAAGCTTATTGTTTCTGATGTTGTTTGGTCATCAGCCCTAACTCTGACGGCTTCAGTATATTTTCAATGCACCCAGCAGGCTCTTCCTTTACGGTATACCTCCAAATAACTGCTTCACTGACGTGCATGTGAAGCTCACATGGCTCGGAACCAGCAGAATATGATGCTGCAATGCCGAAACATATTCCTTCTGGTAACTCCTTAGTATTTCCTGTATCCTTTTGCTGCCACCAACCACCTTCCATTCATTCGTAAGGTAATATCCTGTAGGGCTTGGAAGGGAGCTACCGGACTAACGTCAGTGACGGATTCACCTCGTACATAGAGTTGTGTTGTAAAAACTAAGATTCCGACCAACCTCAGAATACATACATATCATACTAATCCTGGCTGTACAGATATGTGCAGATCCACAAGCTCCCAGACATCTTGGCACCTCAAACTCCCTCCAACTCCCTCAAAACCTCCATAAAGCTCGTCAAGCCGCTCTCCACCCCTACGCGCCGGGCACAAAGTTCTGCGCGTACGCCCACGCGTTGTTGGCGGTGGGGTCGGCGAGGTGGTCCGCGAGGTTCTCGAGGGGCCCCTTGCCCGTCACGATGGCCTGCACGAAGAAGCCCAGCGCCGACACCTGCGCGAGGCGGCCGTTCTTGAGCTCCTTCACCTTCAGCTCCGCCGCCGCGTCGGGATCGTCCGCCAGCCCCAGCGGGTCGAACGCGCCGCCCGGGTAGATCGGATCTTCAACTTCCTGAAACCCCTCGAGCCCACCCACGCGGTAGCTCTCCACCGCGCCCAGCAGCACCACCTGCGGAACGACGACATCGGGTTACCACGTAACGTAAAATGCGTGAGGGTTTGTTTGTCGTGCAGACGAGGAAAAGAAAGGGACTTAGAAAACGGGTGATGGAGACGAGGTGATTTCGCGACGGATCTGACTGGGTAGTAAAAGCCAGGATATGTAACGGAAAAAAAAAAACTGCAGAGCGCACATTGACGGCGAACGCAGGAAGAAGGTGACCGTGAGAGAGGGCTGAACAACGAGCTTACCTGGACGGCGAGCGTGGCGAGGATGCTCTGTGCGTGGATGAGCGCGGGGTTGCCCAAATAGTCGAGCCCGCCCTCCGAAAAAATCTGCGCGCCCGCCTTAAACCACACCGCCTCTTGCAGCGGCACGCCGTTGCGCGCCAGCAACTCGGGGAAGACGATGCCAAGCGCGCCGAGCATGGCCCAGCGCGAGTGAATCACCTCCAGCTCGCGATTCTTCGCGAAGGTCTCGGGATCCGCTGATAATCCCGCAGTGTCCCACCCGTAATCGCCAGGGAACTCGCCCTTCAGGTACGCGGGAGGCGAGCTAAACGGGCCGAGGAAGAGACTGCGATCCGGCCCGTACCACTGACTGAGGCTGTCAGCGACCTTGCTGACGGTCTTGCGCATCGTGACGCGACACTCCACGTTGCGGACCTTCGCCGCGAGCTCCGCGCTCGAGCCTAAAAACGCGGAAGCGGCGGATACCGCGGTAGCGGAGGTGAGGGCAGCCATGATGCTGGCGGGGGACTGAGCACAAGCTGAAGAAGTCGGGCTGGCTGCAGTGAGTGTGGAATGCTGGTTTGACGATTTGCTGCATGTGTTGGGGAGGTATTTATGTTCGAAATGCGTTGGAGTCCTAACTCGAATTTTAGTGCGAAGATCAATGTTCGAAAGTGAAATCGAGGCGCGGTTGATCCGCGCTTCGGAATTGGGAAGATGCGAAGTTTTGGGGCGAGGGTATCTTACTAATATTTGGTAACCGAATTAGGGCGCGCCACGTCAGCTCGAAGAAGTCGGTCGAATGTTTGTTTCGCGAATGCTTCGAATCTGCACTGGTGCATTCGGTATCCAGCGAATTTGGTCCTGCAAATTCAAATTTGTCCAAGTTGAGAATGCTGTTTCGATACAGGGTCCCTCTAAATTTTGTAGAGTGAAATGAGATTATATTATGGAAGCTTTAAGCTTGTAATTCTCTTGTAACCAGGTGCTTTTAACGAGGAAGCTAGCAGGCTGATGTAGGGTTTCCGTACTCACATACCTGCCCTAAAGTTAGTCTAATCCCTAAAATAGGAGGTCGAGTTAGGGTGTGACGGGACTGGGGTGGGGATTGTCACTTTCGTTTCACGTCAAGTAACAGTTCAGGCGAAGTTGAAATTCGTTAGGGTCTCCCTCGTTTAGTTTCGCGAACACAAAACAATTTTGCGATCTGCAATTCGTGCTTTGCTCCTAGGGTCGAGTCGATACTGCCCTGCCAGTTTTCAGTCTGCTGTCCCACTGCGCTCCTATTTCGACTAGCCTGTTCATTTTATCAGCTGAGCCGCCATCCAGTTAGCTCGCGCCATGGCGGAGGTACAAGTATGGGAGATTAAAGACCTAACGCGCGTCGAGCGAATCGGCGCGCACTCGCACATTCGCGGGCTGGGGCTAGGCGACAAGTTGGAAGCGCGAGGCGTGTCGCAAGCAGTGTGTCAGGCAGGCAGTGTGGGCGTTGGCAGTGTGTGAGACTGTGTGTGCTGTTTGGGAGGTGATGGAGCAGGTTGTCTCCAAGGTGCAGGAGTGGCGGGAGGAGGGAGGGCAAGGCGGAGATCGTGTTTGGGGTGCTGTTCTGTTCATCGCTGAGGTGAGTTGGATGCTTGGCTGTATAGATGAAATGAGGTGCCTTGGGTGTATGAGGCATTGTGGGTGCTGGTGCTCTGTGACACTGTGTGGGCTGATCATGAGGTGCGGGATTGACGGAAAGGTGCAGGAGTGACGGGAGGACGGCAAGGCGGGGATTGTTCCAGGGGTGCTATTCATTGACGAGGTGAGTTGGGTGTGCAGGTGAGTAACTCTGGCCCAATTGCCTGGCTGCCTGCCCGCCCACCTGCCCGCGTGTCCACCCGCCTGAATGTGAAGCAACGTACCATTTCAACCGCTCCACTCCAAGGTATTCTCTCCCCTCTTCGCTCCTTCCCCCCGTCCGTGTGCACCTTGAGGGCATGTGACGACCGCAACGACGATGGTGATGACCTCCCCTCCTCTCTTGAAACCTTCCCACCGTTTTCCATCTCTTCTGCTCCCTTCTTCTCCCCTCCACCCCTCCAACCCCCTCCATCCCCTTTCACCCGCCTCCGCCCCTCGCCACCCTTCTCCACCACTCTCCGCCGCTCCCCCCTCCTTCAGGTGCATATGCTCGATATCAAGTGATTCTCCTTCCTCCACAGAGCCCTTGAAAACGAATCAGCTCCCATACTGGTGGTGCCCACCAACCAATCCCCTCCCCCCTCCACCCCTCTCCACCCCTTTCCACCCCTCGGCCCTGCCTTCCATCCCCCTCCACCGCTCTCTACCCCTCCCCAGGTGCATATGCTGGACATCAAGTGCTTCTCCTTCCTCAACAGAGTTCTCGAGAACGAGATGGTGCCCATACTGGTCCTGGCCACCAACCAATCCTCCTACTTCCACCCCTCTTTACCCCTCTCCACCTCTCTCCACCCCTCTCCAGGTGCATATACTCGATATTGAGTGCTTCTCCTTCCTCAACAGAGCCCTGGAAAACGAGATGGCGCCCATACTCGTCGTGGCTACCACCAATCGGGGCATCACCACATGTCATCCTGCTGGATTTCCTCTACCGCCTGCTTATAATCAGCACCGAGGTGAGGCAAGATGGCTGAATATTCTTGTGCGTGTGAGTTCTGTACTACTATTGTGTTTGCTTTCGTGAATATTATCGTGAAGTGACATGCCGCCACATGGCATTCTGCTGGATTTCCTCGACCGCCTGCTCGTCATCAGCACCGAGGTGAGCTGAGTTGGCACGGGGTGATCTGACCTGGCACGGGGTGATCTGAGCTGGCACGGGTTGATCTGAGCTGGCACAGGGTGATCTGAGCTGGCACAGGGTGATCTGAGCTGGCGGGGGCTGAGGCAAGCATAGCACTTGTGATTTGGATCGAAGGTCACCAGCAGCACCAAGTGAGGACAAGCTTGCGGAGTGGTGTGATCTTCGGCCAAAGAAGCTTGTTTAGGCGAGCTGCAGTCTAGAAAAAATCTTTAGCAAATGATAGACAGTAGTAAAAAATTACCCTGTTAAAACCGAGAATCTGAAAACTGAACTCTTATTCCACTACAGGATTAAAACGCGAACATGTTTCGGTAGACTGGGACAGGCCCCAAGTCAAACCTTCATCAGCGCAAGCAGAATGAAAGACAAGAGTGGGAACAAAGCCCTTAAGCAAGAACTACGTTTCAAGAAACCAAATTCTAGGCGCGTAACAACAGTGGCTGAAATCTGGGCAGCCAATCCAAAGCACCCTGGAAAAGTCCGAGGGGCTCAGGTCTTCATTCCTCGAGGCGTAATGTGGAATCCTCATTCTTCGCCAACTGTAGCTTCAGGAGCCTCGCGCGAACAAGTAACTTTTGCAAGTTACACCCAGCTTTCCAAGCAACAAACATTCTTTCTGTATATAATCTGCGTGATAGTAATCTAGTTTTGAGACGTCTCAAAACTAGCTTGCGGAGTGGTGTGATCTTCGACAAGCTTGGGTCTCATCTCATCAGTTCTGGAAACTAAGTTGGAGACCCACACGATGCGCCAAGAATCAGAAGACTTAAGGATGGGGTTACCAAGGAGATCGTCAAGATCCTTCCATCCCTGCCCCATACCCGCCCCATCCCCGCCCCGTCCCCACCCCATCCCCGCCCCATCCCCGCCCCATCCCCGCCCCGTCCCCGCCCCATCCCCGCCCCGTCCTCGCCCCATTCCTACCCCATCCGCATCCCAGCCATACAAGGGGGAGGAGAACAAGGGAGATCATTCTGATCCTTCCATCCCCATCCCATCCCCACATCCGCACCCCATCCCCATCCCACCCATACAAGGAAGAAGAGGTTAAGGAGATTATTAAGATAAGATGCCTGGAGGAAGCAGTAGACACCTCCTCTGACGCCCTAGACCTGCTCTCTAAAATCGGCGTCGAGACTTCCCTCCGATACGCCATCCATCTTATCACCTCGGCGCATCTGGCGGCCACTAGGAGACGAAAAGCGGGCGGCGGAGGGGGAGGGGGGGTGGTGGTGGAGGTGGAGGATGTGAGCCGGGTGTACACTCTTTTCGCGGATGTGAAGCGGTCAACGCAGTTTCTTGTGGAGTATGGCGATCAGTTTTTGTTCAATGAGCAAGACCATGTAATGTCGGGGTAATTTGTACTATGTCAGGATGAGGTTTCATCATTAGCAGATGATTTGGATGTGTTCTGTAAAATGAATTGTATATCTTTTAAACAAATTTTAAGGAGAACAGGAGTTGCTAGAGTATGGTATCTTTTCTCTCCATTAGGCTTATTTCTACCAGCTTAGTCGAGAAACGAATGGAAGAAACGACCTTCCGCCTGTGATTATCTTCGCAAACAAACCAAATGCTAGCGGGGATAAATTACTGGTGGTTCGACAGCGGCGGTTCCACGATCGACATCGCAGGAAAAACTTCAGACATCGACTAGTAGGCATAGGCTCTGAGCAGCACGCCTAAGATTCTAGTACTTCACGCGAAATCGTTTCTAGGATCCTATCCATTCGTAAACCACATTAGTTTGTGCACTCGACATTGTCCACCGCTTTGCCGCAACGCTTTGCCTACGAAACGACCCTGCGCCAGCGGATATTCGCGTCAACGATTTGAATTCTAACGGCTAGTTCACTTGAACCTAGCGCTCGGAGCTACCCTGCGCCCGCGTCTATCCTGCTGTCAAGACCGCAGATTAATGTAGCCGTCAGTCTCGACGAAGTAGGCTCGGTTCCGTCCGAAGGAATTCTAAGCTCAATATTATTTTCGTTTTCTTTTTCTTTTTCGTTTTCCGAGCTTTCAAAAGTCAATTTCTAGAGGGTTTTTTTTTTTCCGGGTTCGCAAACGTCATGGAGGAGCATTTCGTGTTGCGGTTACCACCGTCGCTGGCTTCTCGGATGGACCGCGTGCTGCGGGAAGACCCCGCCGCCGCCGCAGACGCCGCCATGGAACTTTTCTTCCAAGGTGGGTAAACATTTGAGGCGCCTCAAGGTAGGTAAACCAGCTGACGCCACCACTCGTCCTTATCACTCTCGCCACCCTAATCTTACCTCCCCCCTGATTCATCTGACGGTCGCACTGGCTCCTAATCTTATTCCTGGAGGAATCCTTTCCCGGGAGTCAAGTGCTTACTGGAGCAGCCAGCGATGGTAGAAGACAGGCAGCCGGTTCCTATGTTATAGCTCGCTTGCCCTCACCACCCCACCCCACCCCACCCCACCCCACCCCACCCTCCCCATCCTTTCCCGGGAGTCAAGTGCTTACTGGAGCAGCCAGCGATGGTAGAAGGCAGGCTTTGCTTTTGACTCAAAAGCTTTTGGCCAAAAGCTTTGACTCTCACACCAGCTGATGGCCGCACCGGCTCCTTGGTGATGGGTGTGGTATCGTTTCCCGCATCCTTGGTAGACATGCCGTCCTCATCCTCCTCTGCCTCATTACTCCCCACTCCACCTCACTCGCAACAGCTGAAGGGCGCACGGGCTCCTTTGTGATGGGCGGAGAGGCCTTCCCCGCCTCTCACCCCACCCCACCCCACTTCACCCCACCCCACTTCACCCCACCCTACTTCACCCCACTCCACCTCCACTCGCAACAGCTGAAGGGCGCACGGGCTCCTTTGTGATGGGCGGAGAGGCCTTCACTAACGGTGGTCTCTTGTGTACCTGCCAGCGGTGGTGGTGAGGTGGAGACTGGAGTCATCATGGAAGGCATATGACAATAACTCGTCCTTCTCTCCTTGCTGCTCCCCTACCTCCCGCTTTCCCCCTCACTGCTCCCCTACCCGCACCTTCACCCTCACCAGCGGACGGCCGAACGGGTTCCTTTGTGACGGGCAGGGAGGTCTTCCCCGCGTCTTTGCTGGACCTTTGATTCAACTCAAATGTCACCTCACCCCGAACCACCTGACAGCCGCACAGGTTCCTTTGTGATAGGCAGGGAGGTCTTCCCCGCGTCTCTCCTGGACCTGCCAGCGGTGGTGGAATCCTGGAAGACTGATGATGATATCTCGCTCGTCCTCACCACCCCACCCCACCCCACCCCACCCCACCCCATCCCACCTCCATCCACACCAGCTGACGGCCGAACGGGCTCCTTTGTGATGGGCAGGGAATCTTTTTCCGCCTCCTTATTGGACCTGCCAGCGGTTGTCGAATCGTGGAAGACATACGATGATAACTCGCTCATCAAAACGGCCGACGTGGGGCAGGTGGGACGTGGGGCAGGTGCCAGGTGGGACGTGGGGCAGGTGGGACGTGGGGCAGGTGGTATCTGGGTAAGTTGTGTGTTTATTGGGCAAAGGGTGGATGATCTACCAGCGGTTGTCGAGTCGTGGAAGACATACGATGATAATTCGCTCGTCAAAACGGCCGACGTGGGGCAGGTGGGACGTGGGGGTAGCCGGGTAGGTGGGATGTGGGGCAGGCGGGGCGTGGGGCAGCAGGTACAGTTAGAGGGTAGGTGGGAGGTCGTTGCTGGATGTGGGGCAGGTGGGGTGTGGTGGGGTGTGGTGGGGTGTGGTGGGGTGTGGTGGAGTTGTGGAAGACGTATGCCGACAACTCGCCTGTCAAAATGGCGGATGTGGGGCAGATGGGATGCGGGGAAGGCTGTTTTCGGGGAAGGCTGGATTCGGGGAAGGCTGGATTCGGGGAAGGCTGGATTCAGGGGAGGCTGGATTCAGGGAAGGCTGGATTCAGGGAAGGCTGGATTCGGGGAAGGCTGGATTCGCTGAAGCTCGGTTGTGAAAACGTTTGATTCTGGGGAAGGTGGGAGAGAGTTTGGAAAACTGGGGGAACGATGAAAACTCCCTTGTCAAAACGGTAGACGTGGGGCAGGCAGGTGGGACGTGGGCAGGTGGGACATAATTGTGATTGTGTAAATAGTCACACCATCCTAATTTACTGTAATGTATGTGACTGTGCCACCGTGTGTGACTGTAACGGATGATAGTGGTGAAGGAGCCATCATAGGCGCAGCGGCCAATGGAGGGGCCGGAGAGCCGCATGTGATGAGTCGATTTTTTAGTCGACTCAAAAATCGACTCATCGGCGAAGCGGCTTATTGAGGGACCGGAGAGCCGCAACGTGCTCAGTCACCCCGCCCTCGCTTGCTCTTCATCGTGACTGTAACGATTGGCACACTACCATATGTGACTGTGCTGCATGTGACTGTGATATCAGATGATCGTGGTGAGGGAGCCATCAGAAGCAGAGCGCCCAGTGGAGGGACCAGAGAGTCGCAACGGCCTCACCCCTCCCTCCCGTGTGAATGTTGTACCACATGTTACTGTGATATCAGATGATCGTTGTGAGGGAGCCATCGGAGGCAGAGCGACCCATTGAGGGACCGGAGAGCCGCAACGGCCTCACCCCGCCCATGCGCGACGTGCGGAGGCGGCGCTTCAGGCGAGAGCCTGACCTGAACGTGAGTGTGACGTGTCATGACTATGCAATTGGCGAGCTGCTCACATGCATGACTCTATTGCGAGCCGCACTAACGGCCTCACCCCGCCCATGCGGGACGCGTGGAGGGGGCGGTTCAGACGAGAACCCGACCTCAGTGTGAGTGTGACATGCTGTGTTCAAACAATATACTTGACGAGCTGCTTACAATGTTCTTTGTACCAGCTCCATTGAACGCGACACTTATGTGAGATGTGCAAAGGCGGCGCGTTAAACGCGAACCCGAGCCGAATGTGAGTGTGCTGTCTTCTTCATCATCATCTAATTACCAGCTTATGTGTTCGTTTTTCACTGTAGTGTAGTGAGTGCGCTGTTCTCATAGCGTGGTCTGATCTGATGAGCTGCTTTTATGTTCTTCCTGCTCACTGTAGTGAACACAACTGTCTCACTCACTCACTCCGCATGAAGTGGGGGCGTGCGGACTGCATGCGCTTGTGGGGGCGTGCGGACTGCATGCGCTTGTGGGGGCGTGCGGACTGCATGCGCTTGTGGGGGCGTGCGGACTGCATGCGCTTGTGGGGGCGTGCGGACTGCATGCGCTTGTGGCTTGCCCTCCACCCCCACTTCCATCCTTTGACCTCCTCCCTCGTTTCTTCCCTCCCCCCTCATGTCCCACTCTTGTCCCCTCTCTCTCCTTCCCACCTCTTTAAACATCATCCACTCTCGCCTTTCTCGTTCTTCCCACTCTCGTTCGTCCTATTCTCATTCTCGTTCATACTCAATTCCAATCATTATCTCCCCCTTTCGATTCTCTCCCTCTTTGATTCCCCCTTCTTTGTCTCGCTGCTGGCAGCCGGAGATGGTGTCAGAGCTTTGAGGCATCGTTTCCGCGTGGCACTCAATTCTTCTTGTTTTCCTCTCCTCTTCAATCCTCTTTCATTCTGGGCGGCCGGAGATAGTGGAGGAGGTGGAGGGGGAGGTACGGGTGATCATGCCCCCCGTGCACATTATTCTTGTCATTATCTCCCCCTTACAACTTCTCCTCTTCCATTTTCTCCTTTCTTTCTCTGGCTGGCAGCCGGAGATAGTGGAGGAGGTGGAGGGAGGAGTTACAGGGAATCATGGGCCCCATGCACTCAATTCTCATTACCGTATCCTTGTCTTATATTCTCTTCATTCATTTCCTTCCTGTTTAAATCTTGGCAGCCGGAGATAGTGGAGGAGGTGGAGGGCGAGCTACGGGGAATCATGGCGGGAGGAGCGGCCAAAGACGTGGATATCCCCCTCCGCACACTCTCTCTTACCCTCACTCCGCACACTCTCTTACCCTCACTCCGCACACTCTCTTACCCTCACTCCGCACACTCTCTTACCCTCACTCCGCACACTCTCTTACCCTCACTCCGCACACTCTCTTACCCTCACTCCGCACACTCTCTTACCCTCACTCCGCACACTCTCTTACCCTCACTCCGCACACTCTCTTACCCTCACTCCGCACACTCTCTTACCCTCCCTCCGCACACTCTCTTACCCTCACTTCGCACACTCTCTCTTACCCTCCATACAAACAATCTCTATTGCCCTCTTTCGCACACTTGCTCTCTCTTACCCTCTCTGCATAGTAACACTTACCCTCTCCGCACACTCTCTCTTACCCTCTCTCTGCACACTCTCTCTTACTCTCTCTCCACACGCTCTCCCTTACTCTCTCTCAGCACATTTGGTGCTTGTTTGTTCCCATCTCCACCACTGTCTGTTCGTCTTGCACATTTGGGCTCAGTGCAACCGTGCTAACCTATCTCACCATCTGTACTCGTTAGAACCAATGCTCTTTTATTTTCCTCAATCGGAAGTGTCAAACTTCTTATATTCCGTTTTCCTTGACCCGTGATGGTTTCGATACTTGCTTGTTTTTTTCTTGCCTCGCCCTCCCATGTCCTCTCTTGCCCTTCTTATCTTGCCTTCCTTTACCAATCCCCTCCTTGCATTTGGTTTCCTTTTGTTTATATATCGTCTCTGGGGCGTTTTAAATCCTATGGCTGCACCGGTGACCGTCCGATCGCACATCTGGCTTGTTTCTGGCCATCGGATCGTGCACAGCTGGAAGTGATGGAGCATGAGGAGGCGGAGGAAGGGGATGAGGGTGAGGGAGGGGAGGAGGGTGGAGAGGGGAAGGAGGGAGAGGAGGAAGGAGGGGAGGTGGAAGGGTTGGGAGGCAAGAAGAAGAGAGGAGGGAAGGTTGGGGTTAGGGGTGGGGGGCGAGGAGGAAGAGGGGGACGAGGGGGACGGGGGAGGGGAGGTGGGAGAGGAGTGGGAGCAGGGGGGAGGGGGCGAGGGAGGGGGTTAGGGAGAGGGGTGAGAGGAGGGGGGAGAGGTGGGGGAAGAGGAGTGGGGGAAGGAGCGGGGAGAGGAGGGGGGAGAGGGGGTGGGAGGGGGAGGGGAAGAGGGAGAGGGATGAAGAGAAAGGAGGTTGAGGAGACGGAGGATACTGAGGAGGAAGGGAGAGGGGGAGGGAAGAGGAGGAGAACGGATGAGGGGGGAGATGAAGAAGAGGGGGATGCAGATACAGCTGAACATGAGAGGGAAATTACCAAGGAAGAGGAGGAAAGTCATGTGGGGGAGGAGGGAGAGGAGGAAGAGAGGGATGAAAGGGAAGGGGGTGAGAGAGAAGAGGAGGAACAGGATGAAGAGGCGCATGGGGAGGAGGCAGAAGAGGAGGGTGATATGGGTGGGGGAATACCGGGTGAAGAGGACGAGGGCGAGGAGGAGGAGAGGGATGGAGACGAGGGTAGGGGTGAAGGGAGTGGAGCAGGAGGGGAGGTAGAGGAAGGGGGAAGTAGTGAAGAGGAAGGAAGGGATGGTGATGGGTTCGTGGATGTAGACGAGGATGAGGAAGAGCCCTATTAGGGGTACTAGGTACATGTTGAACAGTTGATTGTTAGTGCATATGTGTTACGAGCGCAATTGAGTGAGCAAGCGAGAATTGCACTATCGAAGCAAACAATACAATTGAGCGAGAAGCATGAGCGAAGTTATATAGCGAAGCTAGCGTGGTAACGGTAATGCGGGAAATTGGGGTGCGCTACGGGCCTAGCGTCGAGGTTTGGGAATTGTCGAGGCGGAGGTCCGGAGCGCGGGTTACCAACCGAACCGTTAGGTTGGGTCGCATCGCGAACAGTGGCGGGAGTCGTGGCCGAGGTGAGCGGGTAACGTTTTCACTCTGGGTGACGATGGCGGGAGTGGTCATGTACGCGGTAAGCAGGGACGCGAAGTAAGGAAAAGGAATTTTCCTTACACTACCCCCCTCCCCAAGGAGGCCCTCCTTACGAGAGTGCGTGTACATCTCGAAAGTTTCGGCTGCGCAGATACTCAGTGAGGACAGGGTGATTCTCAAGTGTTACGAGTGCAATTGAGTGAGCGAGCGAGAATTGCACTATCGAAGCAAACAATACAATTGAGCGAAAAGCATGAGCGAAGTTATATATAGCGAAGCTAGCGTGGTAACGGTAATGCGGGAAATTGGGGTGCGCTACGGGCCTAGCGCCGAGGTTTGGGAATTGTCGAGGCGGAGGTCCGGAGCGCGGGTTACCAACCGAACCGTTAGGTTGGGTCGCATCGCGAACAGTGGCGGGAGTCGTGGCCGAGGTGAGCGGGTAACGTTTCCACTGTGGGTGCCGATGGCGGGAGTGGTCATGTACGCGGTAAGCAGGGGCGCGAAGTAAGGAAAAGGAATTTTCCTTACACTACCCCCCTCCCCAAGAAGGCCCTCCTTACGAGAGTGCGTGTACATCTCGAAAGTTTCGGCTGCGCAGATACTCAGTGAGGACAGGGTGATTCTCAATTCTATCCAGGGGGACCCAGTTATCTTCGGTGGGCGTGCGGTCTTTCCAGCGGATCAGGAATTCGATTCTGCGGGCTCCCCGTAGGTCACGTACTCGGTGGCTCAGTATTTTTTCGGGCGTGATGATTGGTTCTGTTGGCGGGCGTGTCATGCTGGCGGGGTGGTTGCGAGGCAGTTGGCTGGTGGATGGGATATATGGGCGAAGCAGGCTGACGTGGAATGATGGGCTGACGTACCAGTCAGCAGGGAGGAGGAGGTGGGCGGTGACGGGTGTGATCATGTGCCTGATGCGAAATGGCCCGCAATATCGGGGGCGGAGTTTTGGAGTGACGGGTAGGCGGAGGTTTTCAGTGTCGAGTAATACCAGGTCGTCTGGTTGGTAAGTGACGGGGCGACGGTGGCGGTCGGCGTTGCGCTTAGCGATGACGTTCGATTTTTTTATTGCTTCTGCTACTCGGGTCCGTGCTGCTTGTAAGATTTCTGCAAACTGTTGCGCGCGTGGCACCGGGATGTCGGGATTCGGAGTCATGGGTACTGTGGGGTCTTGTCCGTAGTTCAGGTAAAACGGTGACTGTTGGGTCGTGGCGGATGGCGAGTTGTTGTACGCGAATTCGATGAGTGGCAGTTAATGTTCCCAGGTGGTCGGGTCGTCGCACCTGGCTCGGATGAGTTGCTCCATGGTCTGGTTTGTCCGTTCTGTCTGTCCGTCGGTCTCGGGGTGGTACGAAGAACTGAACTGCAGTCGCGTGCCGAACTGCTGCCACAGGTTCCGCCAGAAGTTGCTGGTGAATTTCGTGTCGCGGTCGCTGATAATTGATGTTGGTATCCCGTGCAGTCGAACACCGGTGGAGATGAAGAGGCGGGCTGTTTCTTCGGCTGTGATTGATTTTTTTGTAGGCTGCGAAGTGTGCCATTTTCGTCAGCCGATCGACGACGACCAGGATCGCGTCGTTCCCACTTGCTCCAGCCGGTAACCCCGTGACGAAGTCCATCGTCACCTGCTGCCAAGCACGCTCTGGGGGTGGTATCGGCTGCAACTGCCCTGCCGGCCGTTTCCATGACGACTTCATGATTTGGCAGGTGGGACACGATGCCA